CGGGATGTCCGCCTCCTTTCTGGCTTTCAGGCATGCCTGAGTGCCTTTGGCAAGCCAAGGGGGCTTTTGAGCACCCTTGCCCGCTTTGACTCGTGTTGAGACTGTCACCCCTTGGGCTCAGAGGATCGTCTCCTTAAGGAATGGCCACTCATCTTGGACACCCAGTTCCCCTACTCTCCGGGACCGTAATGTCTCTCCTACCAATCTCCTCAACTTGCTGAAGTCAGCCCTCCTGAAGTCAAGGTCTACTGCCTTGCTGCAGGCCCTTGACACCCTGCGCTGGATGGTGAATTCCAGAAGGCGATGATTGCTATCACCCAGCTGGTCGAGGACCTGGAATCCCCTCACCAGGTCGTCGCCTGTTGCCAGGACAAAGTCCAGCAAGTCATTCCCTCTGGTAGGACTGTGCACCTCCTGGGTTAGGTGGAGGTCTTGTATCTCAGCAAGGAACCTACATGAGCGGTCAGACCTGGCTGACTGCTCCTCCCAGCATATGTCCGGGTAGTTTAGGTCACCCATGATGACCACGTCCCTTGACTTAACTGCCTCCGCGAGCTGACCTGAGAATTCCCAGTCCAGCTCTTCCCCCTGGTTGGGTGGTCTGTGGTAGACCCCCACCGTTAAGTCCCTTTCCCCACAACCCCCTTGTATTCTGACTCGGAGCACTTCAGTCTGCCCCTCCTCTGACCCCCTGCATGCAGACAGGACTCCCTATGAGAGCCTCATAGTTAGCTTCCCACTCTCCAGCTTCTAGTGGGAGGATCTCGGCTACACGCCAACTTTATGGAAATGGGAGATTCCTCCCTAGCTTGCTCCTGTGGCCATACAGCTGAGAACAAGCGAAACTTGGGGACATCCAAACCCCAAGCCTCCAGGCTTGGGCCTGCACATAGGATGCCCACCAAGGGATTTGGTGTTTGCTGGTAGCAGGGCCACATTTGGTTTTTGAATGACTCACAGATTTGGAATTGATTTGGCTGATTTGACTTGGAACATGGAAAATTAAATATATATATCTATATATCTATATGTATATGAATTTGGTCATTTTTTCTGTGTCACACCAGAGCTCCCAGAGGCTGACCGTCTCTGAGAGCATCCTGTCGCAAGCAGCCTGAACACGAAGAGCAACAGCAGGCAGAAGGCTGGTTGGGAGCCCTCCCAAACCTCCGAGCACCTCAGAACAACAGAGTCCAAGTTGGGATTCAAGACTCTGTGCAGCTGTGTCAGGTCTTACTGACAAACCATCCATCTGTACGGAGAAAAAGAGATCTAATTTTGTGACAACTCTAGTCCCTGGTCCTGGCATTGACGCCCAGCTCCCAGCCAAGGAAAAGAGATGGCTTTTTATTGTCATGTTCTCTGTGCAGAAGGCATTGAGGTCCTCCCAGACACATCCGCTTCCAGAGGCCAGGAACATGCTCCTCTCATAGGAACAGCCTCCAACTGCTCCCTGGGCGACATGTTTTCTATCCATGGAGAACATGGAGAGTCTGGGCCTCACTCTGCTCTCAAGGGCGCTGGATTTGGCTCAGTGGGAAAGGGCTCTTCCCAGGGTGACTCCAGTAATTTCACTCCAGATTCACTCCAGTGTAAGGGAGAGGGCAATCAGGCCTGGTACATGCGAGGTGCAGAACACAGGACAGATGGAGGTGTCATCGTTGTGGTGGTCCCAGTCCTTCCTGGATCTACAAGGGAGGCAGGTCATGAGCCGTAGCAGACCAGAGAGAGACAAGGAGTGACTGGAGGGAATGGCCCCAGCTTTAATACACACCAGAGTTTGACCCAAATTGTGGCTTAGGAAATGTGGCCCAGGAGTGTGCAGGGTAGAGGTTTTGTCACATGTAGCCCTGCAGCAGAGGTGGCGGCCTCAAGAAAGTTGCCATATTTCTCAGTGACAGGCCAGAAACAGGGTTGGGAGCAGGTGAAGATCCAGCTCCAGCTCCCACTGTGCACCTGGCAGGATAGCCGTACTCAATCCGCACTGGGTGCATGCTCCACTGGGCAGACCCCCAGTAGGGATCACTCCACAGTTACCCCTGGACCACTGTGTGGCCCAGGGAGAAGGGACAGTGTCACCTGGGCAGCCACTTTCCCTCCTGGGAGGGTCCAGGGGAAGCACAACACCTTGCTGCCCTGCAGTGTGTGATCCCGGTGTTGCCATGATTGAGCCCCTGGGAGTGCAGAACAGGCCAGTGCAGTGTGTGGGCCCACGGGGTGGATGCCGGAGGCTCTCACCGTGTCTGTGGCGTCTAGTCGTTGGAGCTGCCCCTGTAGCGCACACTCACCCACACCACAGTGCAGACCATGCACAGGAACACGGGCACCTTCAGGCCGACCAGGAGCACGAAGTGGATGTGGCTGTCCTGGGAGCTGTGCAGTTGGGTGACAGTGGGGATAGGTGAACTCTCTAGATTTGACCACATTTCTTCCATTGACCTGTTCCCCGGCTGCTCTCAGGCTGAAGGTGGGAAGGATGCTTCACCACGAAGGAAAGCAAGCACCAGGGCTTCATCACCTGCCCCTGACACAGACCCTCCACAGCCTCCTCAGGGATTCATTCATGCAGAATTAGAGCCAGCAGCGGATCGGTTCCCAGTCTGTCCTTTCCAATCAGTCTTATCCTACCCACAGACTCTGCCTCCAAGAAGCTGCTCATCAAAACAGCCCCATGGGATGTTCACAGCAATGATGAGATCTCACACAGGTGTTGTGGCCACGCAGCCCTGGGATGAGGGTATGGGCACTCACCTTTGGGACATGTTGTGTACAGCAGGGAAACCGCTGACTTGGCTCTCTGTAGAAATTCTCCAGGTGAAAATGGATGCTGTGAACTCAGTAGAAACCGGGGGCTCCATGGGTGACAGCACTGAGGATGGAAGCACGGCAAAAGAGACCAGAGCTCCTACCACATCTGTCTCCAGGGGGTCATCCCAAGTCTGGCCATACTCTCGGACCTCTGGGTCTTCAAGGGCCTCCAGATTTTGGGGCTGGTTGGGACTGGCTCCCGGGAGTGACCCAAACTTAAGATCACATGTGGGGACTCCCAGCTCCTGGGTGGGCTCTGCCTCAGCCCAGTTCTTCCAGAAGGGCCAAGGCTGTTGGGGTGCAGGGCCCTTGGGGGATGGGGCACAGCTCACACCTGGGTGGGCAGCTTCTGCTGCTCCCTACTGTTTCCTCCCCTCAAACCCCTCCTCATGGGGCAATGTAAGCCCTGCACTGACCCCCACCCTCTGCCCTGTTTTGTTATGGGGAAATGTGACCCCCACCACCACGCTCTGCCCTGTTTCAGGGGGATCAGGCCATGGTAGAGCTCCTGCCCAGGCCAGGATGTCTTGGAGGGGGAAGGAGAATCCAGCTGCCATCCTGGGCTGGTCCTGTGGGGCTCTTCTGGATCTGTCAGGGAGGTGGGGGACAGACAGAGCTGCAGGGTCCTGGGGGGCTTCTATAATGGGAGCACTGGGCACAGGACACTGTGGGCAGAGCCAGGGGCTTGTACCATGTAGGAACCCCAGAGGAACCCATCCAGGCTGGGTCCTTCTTGGGTGATGGGGCTGATGGTCTTCAGGGTTTAATCTCTCCTTGAATTCCTGGGGGCCTTCATTTTGAGAGCCTGCCTGACCACAGCATCTGCCCGCCACCCCCCAACCCCTTTCCTCTGAACAGGGAGGAAGGGGGAAGGCAGTTACCTGGGGACACGGTCACCTCCACAGCGTGCCTGAGATCACTCGAGAAAGCAATCAGCACCCCGCACAGGTAGGTGCCAGCATCGGCCTTGGTCAGGTGCTCCATGGTAATCGTGAATGTGCGCAGGATGTGGTTGTCCTGAAGGGATAAGCGGCCCTTTTGCACATTGGCCTCTGACCAATTGGTGTGTATTGTGTGCTCCCCACTGGAACAGCGGCTGGAAGGCCCTGCTCTACACCAGAGTTTCCCGTTCTTCTCGTGACCTCTGTTGTATTTGCATGTCACGGACACCGACCCACCTTCAGGGCCCGTTACTATTTCAGGGCCTATCAGTGCCATGCAACCTGCAGGAAACACCAGCACAGACAGACCCTGAGCCCTTTGCCTTGCAATGATTTCTCCAGCAAAGATAGGGGATAATAGAGACCGTGCCAGGAGTGGGAGGTTGAGGTGAAGAGGCACCACGTTTCTGAATTAGAGACCTTTCCCCAAAAGACATTTTCCTGCAGAAAAACTTGGTTGTGAACGTAACAGTTTGATGTTCTGATTGGGAACAGTGGAACTGAACCTGGTACGGCGGTGTCTGGATCTGGCATCTTGAAACAAGCCACTTTTTCTTTCATTTTGTGTTAAAATGGCCTCTCATTAGCATTTCCATTTCATATTACACATTTCGGGGCTCTTCCCCAAAAATACCTTCCTCTCTTTTTCCCTGCCCTCAGCTTCTCTTCTCAAGCTGTTCTTTGCAACCATGATGGCTAATAAGCCTTAGTCTTTCTTTCTAAGACAGCTGAGAGTCCAACATAATTACGTGACTCCAGGAGCTGCATCTTTAAGAAAACTAGCAGGTTTCCTGAGGCTCGGGATAACATCCTGATCCAACAACACTGGATCTTCTGCTCAGCACCAAGTTCCTTATCTTCCAGGCATTTGGAGGCTCCAGCTCCTGCATGAGTTGTATGCACTGCTGCGGTCTAGTTGGGGCTTCTGAGCTGCAATGAGGAAGCCAGCAAAGCCTCCAGCCTGTCTCAGTGCATTTCCAGGGATCCCCAAACCCCCATCATACTCACCGGGGAAGAGAATCCAGAGCCAAAGAGGGAGCGCCCACATGGTCCTGGTCCCTCCGCAGCTGAATCGGCTCTCTTTGCAGCTGCCCTGGGACTTGCTGCCTTTGAGGAGACCTGAAAATGAGCCTGAGACTGCTTCTCAAGTTTGCAGTTGCCACCTCTGTCAGCTACTGTCCTTTCCTGTGAAAATGCTTCTATGCAAATGCACAGGAAGTGGTGCAACATTGACTCTCATGGTACGTATGCTATACGACACACTTTTTTTTTTAATAGCAGGTCAGTGTCCATCCTGAAGTCGAGACGGGAGGCAGGAGAGGGCAGTCAGGCAGGCCAGTGTAGCATCTTGGATCCACAGTTTTAGGGTCTCTCTGTTAAGGGTTGCAATTTGTGACAAAGTCAAAGGTTACACCTTCACTGATTTCCTCTTTCTTGGCTTTGTGATATCCCTGTATCTGGACAGACTCTCTGTGGATAACTTCGGGTGCCCAGAACTCCTCAGTCAGGCTCCCAACAGCATGGCTTAAATATCATCAAAGAATGAGGTTCAGGTCTTTGCATGGCATGCTTTTATATCAAGGACTTGAACCTTTATGCCCTGGTGTCCAAGAATGTCTCTAACATCTGTCCCAGCCATACACTTGGTCCAATAATAGGTATCACCAAAAAGCCCCTTGCTTTTCCTGTAAGTGTCCAACATTTTGGCGAGTGTAGGAGACAGGTAATGGAATAGGCCTTGAGCAGGAGGAGCTGAGCAAAATGGGATGTCAGAGTGGAAGTGACTGCTCTTGAGCACTGCAACTTGATCGGTTGCTGGTAGTCCCATCCCCTATGGCCACAGAGATAGAGGATGACAGGGAGCAGCCTGGCGTGAAGGTACGGGCACTCACACTGGGAGCATGCTGTGCACAGCAGGGAGGATGCTGGCTTTGCCCTCGGTAGAAATTTTCCAGGTGAAAATGGGTGTTGTGAAATCGGTAGAAGCCGGGGGCTCCATGGCTGATGGCACCAAAGGCAAAAACACTGCAAATGAGAAGAGAGGTATATTGTGTGTGTGTTGCACCTGATGTGCTGCCATCGCTGTTAGGTGACAGCACAATTAAACGTCCTAATGAGATGCAGCCCAGAACAACTCTAGTATAAACCCACCATCCAGCTCCCCCATTGAAATGGCAGATTGGAAAAAAGGTTTGAATCCTCCAAAACATGCAAGCCTTAATTTCAAAAGCTGCCAAGAGGACCCAACTGTACTTATATCTCACACTGAATGCATATGTTAAGCCCTTAATAGATTACAGAACAACACAGAGCCAAAGACAACTCTCTTGGCCCTAGGAATCAGGAAATACAACCCCAACCACCACCTCAATGTGTGAGAGAGAAGGGAATGGTCCAAGGGCCTAGCAGCCAGTGGTCTGTGATCAGGAGCCAGCCCCACCATTTGCTCCTACCACATCTGTGTCCGGGGCGTCTCCCTGAGTCTGGCCACGCTCTTGAACCTCTGGGTCTTCAAGGGCCTCCAGGTTCTGGGGCTGGTTGGGACTGACTCCCGGGAGTGACCCAAACTTAAGATCACACGTGGGGACTCCCAGCTCCTGGGTGGGCTCTGCCTCAGCCCAGTTCTTCCAGAAGGGCCAGGGCTGTTGGGGTGCAGGGCCCTGGGAGGTGGGGCACAGCTCACACCTGGGTGGGCAGCTTCTGCTGCTCCCTACTTTTTCCTCTCCTCGAACCCAATGTAAGCCCTGCACTGACCCCTACCCTCTGCCCTGTTTCTGGGAGATCAGTCCATGGTAGCGCTGCTGCCCAGGCCAGGGTGTCTTGGAGGGAGAAGGAGAATCCAGCTGCCATCCTGGGCTGGTCCTGTGGGGCTCTGCCGGGTTTGTCAGGGATGTGGGGGACAGACAGAGCAGGGGCCTGGGAAGCCTCTGTGATGGGAGCACTGGGCACAGGACACTGGGCAGAGCAGAGGCTCTTACCCTGTGGGAACCCAAAAAGGTGCTCATCCAGGCTGGGCCCCTCATGGGTGGTGGGTCTGATGTAGGCCTGTGCGAAGTGGCTAGTATTCACTTCGGATTCAGAATTGGCCAATATGGGGGAAGTGATTCAATTTGGTGATTCAAATCACTGTCCCCAATTGATTCGGACGAATCTGATTCGGAGATTCAGCCGCTGCCAAATCAGCCGAATCTCCAAATCAGACAGGCCTCATCCCCCGCCCGCTCTCCCAGCCCCATCCATTTTTTTTTTTAAGAGCCAGGAGCTGGGGCGGGCCGGGCAGCCATGGGGGTGCTGGGGGAGCAGACGGGGGGCGGGGGGGGCTTCCCACCCCCTACCTACCAGCACGGAGTCCGGGTCCAGCTCCCTGAGGCAGCAAGTGGGGACTGCCCAAATCTCCGAAGCTGTCTGAATTTTTTCCAAATTGATTCAGACAGCTTCGAATTGATTCAGACCTTTTTATTGGTCCCGATTCAATTCAGATTTGGAGATTCAGCTGCCGAATCGGGTCAAATCTCCTCCAAATTGATTCAGCACCCAAAGCTCTGCACAGCCCTAGTCTAATGATCTGCAGGTTTTAAACTCCCCTTGCATGACTGGGGGCCTTCACATTGAGAGCCTGCCTGACCACAGCACTCCCTACCCCACTCTCCTCTGAGCAGGGAGGAAGGGGGAAGGCAGTTACCTGGGGACATAGTCACCTCCATAGCGTACTGGGATCAGGCAGTCCAGTCCCCACCACCCCACAGTAGTAGGTGCCAGCATTTGCCTTGGTCAGGTACTCCATGGTAACCATGAACGTGCACAGGGTGCAGTTGCATTGGAGGGAGAAGTGGCCCTTTTGCACCTCAGCCTCTGACCTTCTGGTTCCCATGATGTGCTCCCCATTGAAACAGCGGCGAGGAGATCCTTCTCTACACCAGAACTCCCCATACTCCTCATGCAGCCTGCAAGAGACACTAACACGGAGAGAACCTGAGCCCTTTGCTCTGCAATGATTTCCCCAGGAAAGACAAAGGGATGCTGGAGCCCGTGCCCTGGGGCAAAGAAGGAGGCAAAGGGGCAGCACAGGGCAGCACATTTTCTGAATAAGTGAACTTTCCCCAAGATAAACTTTCCTGCAGAAAAACTGATGTGAACATGAGAGTTTGTTCCGACTGGAAACACTGGAACTGAACTTGGCAAGGCACTGTCTCGACCTGACATCTCAAACCAAGCCACTGCTTTTTACCTTTTAAAATAGCCCCTCACTTGCACTTCCATTTCATTTTGCTCAGTTCTGGGCTCTTCCCCAAAAATACCTTCCTGTCTTTTTCCCTGCCCTCAGCTTCTCTTCTCAAGCTCTTCTTTGCAACCATGAAGGCTAATGAGCCTTAGTCTTTCTTTCTAAGACAGCCACGGGTCCATCATAATCACATTATTCCGGGAACTGCATCTTTAAGAAAACCAGCAATTATCCTGAGGCTCAGGATATAATCCCAAGCTGAAATCACTGAATCTTCTCCTCACCACAGATGTCACTGTAGTGACAGCCTCAGCACTGAGATCCTTATTTTCCAGGCATTTGGAGGCTCCAGCTCCTGCATGAGTTGTACTCACTGCCGGGGTCTAGATGTGACTTGCGAGCTGCAATGAGCCTGTGTCAGTGCATTTCGAGGGATTCCCAAACCTGCTGTCATACTCACCTGGGAAGAGGATCCAGAGCCAAAGGAGCACCCACATGGTCCTGGTCTCTCTGCAGCTGAATCTGGTCTCTGCAGCTGCCCTGGGACCTGCTGCCTTTCAGGAGAACTGAAAATGAACCTAAGACTGCTTCTCTAGTTTGCAGTTGCCACCAATCTCAGCTACCGCCCTTCCCTGTGAAAATGCTTCTGTGCACAGGAAATGGTGCAACATCTACTCTTGTGGTACATATGCTATATGATGCTGTCTTTAAAAAAAAAAAGAAAAAAAAAAAAAGGAATAGCATGTCGGTGCCCAGCCTGAGAGGGTTTTTTCAGACAGGCCAGCAGAACATCTTGGATCCACACTTTTATGGTCTCTCTCATAAGTATTGTGATTTGTGAAAAAATCAAAGGTTACTGTTTCACTGATTTCCTCTTTCTTGGATTTGTGATATCCTTGGATCTGGACAAACTCTCTCTGGATAACCTCTGGTGCCCAGAACCCTTCAGTCAAGCCCCAAAAGCATGTTTGTAGCTGAAAGGTCATCAAAGAGTCAGATTCAGATCTTTGTATGATATGATTTTATACCCAGGACTTGAACCTTTATGCCCTGGTGCATGAAAGCTTCTCTAACACCTCTGCCAGCCATAAGCTTGGTCCACTAACAGGTAAATCCAAACAGTCCATTGCTTCTCCAGCAAGTGTCCAGAATCTTGGCCTGTGTTGGAGATGGGTAATGGAATAGGCTTGGAGCAGGAGGAGCTGAGCAAAATGGGATCTCAGAGTGGAAGTGACTGCTCTTGAGAAACACCCAGCAGCTTGGTCCATTGCAACTAGTCCTGTCCCCTATGGCCGCGGAGATGGAGGATAGCAGGGAGCAGCCTGTCAAAGCAAAGGCTGAAAGGGGATGTGGTTACTCTATATAAAATAAAGGGTCCAAACCAGGGACAGAAAGAGCACTTTATTGAAGTCATTAAGGTATTTTGAACATAGGGAAGAGGGAGGGAGATGTCATCATTGTGGTGGTCCCAGTCCTTCCCCGGTCTACAAAGGAGGCCGGTCATGAGCTGTAACAGACCGGAGAGAGACCGGGGTAACTGGAGGGAATGGGCCAGCTCTAATACACATCACTTTGGCCCAAACCATGGCTAGGAAATGTGGGCCAGAAGTGTAGAGGGTGAAGGCTTTGTCACATGTAGCCCTGCAGCAGAGGTGGCGGCCTCAAGAAAGCTGCCATATTCCTCAGTGACAGACCAGAAACAGGGTTGGGAGTGGGTGAAGCACTGGCTCCAGCTCCCACCGTACACCTGGCAGGATAGCAGTACTCAATCCACACTGGGTGCATGGTCCACTGGGCAGAGCCCCAGTAGGGATCACTTCACAGTTACCCCTGGACCACTGTGGGGCCCAGGAAGAAAGGACAGTGTCACTGGAGCAGCCACTTTCCCTCCGGGGAGGATTCAAGGGAAGCACAACACCTTGCTGCCCTGCAGTGTGTGATCCCGGTGTTGCCGTGATTGAGCCCCTGGGAGTGCAGAACAGGCCGATGCAGTGTGTGGGCCCACGGGGTGGATGCCGGAGGCTCTCACCGTGTCTGTGGCGTCTAGTCGTTGGAGCTGCCCCTGTAGCGCACGCTCACCCACACCACAGCGCAGACCATGCACAGGAAGACGGGCAGCTTCAGGCCGACCAGGAGCAGGAGGTGGATGTTGCTGGCCTGGGAGCTGTGCAGTTGGGTGAGAGTGGGGAGAGGTGAACTCTCTAGATTTGAATACACTCCTCCCACTGACCTACCTGTTCCCCGGCTGCTCTCAGGCTGAAGGTGGGAAGGGTGTTTGACCACAAAGGTAGAGAAACACCAGGGCTTCAGCACCTGCCCCTGATACAGACCCCCTAGAGCCTACTCAGGGATTCATTCATGCAGTCACAGAGCCAGCAGCAGCTCTGTTCCCAGATTACCTTTCCAATCAGTGCTGTCCTACCCACAGACTTTGCCTCCAAGGAGTTGTTCATCAAAGCAGCCCTGTGGGATGTTTTCAGCAATGATGGGATTTCACAAAGTTTTGTGACTGCACAGCCTTTGGTGAGGGTACGGGCACTCACCTTAGGCCCATGCTGTGCACAGTAGGGGGCATACTGGCTTTGTCCTCTGTAGAAATACTCCAGGTAAAAATGGGTGTTGTGGACTCAGTAGAAGCTGGGGGCTCCATGGTTGATGGCATTGAGGTCGGAAGCACTGCAAACAAGACCAGAGCTTTTTTGTGTGCACATTGCACCTGATGGTGGGGAATGTGCTGCCAGCACTGTTAGGTGACAGCACAATTCAGTGTCCTAATGTGACACAGCCCAGTGCAGCTCTGGTATAAGCTCACCATCCAGCTCCTCCATTGAAATGGCTGGGTGGAAAAAGGTTGGAATCCTCCAAGCCTTCATTTGATGAAATGCCAAAAGGACTCAACTGTACGTATACCTCCCAGTGAATGCAAATGCCAAACCCTTAATAGGTTAGAGAACGACATGGAGCCAAAGGGAATTTTTCTGGCCCTGGGAATCAGGGAGCACAAACTCAGCCACCACCACACTGTACAGGAGTAGGGAAAATCCCCTGTGTCCTAGGGCCTGGCAACCAGTTTTGTGATCAGGAGCCAGCCCTGCCATTCATTCCTACCATATCTGTCTCCAGGGGATCACCCCGAGTCCAGCCACACTCTCGGGCCTCCAGGTTCTGGAGCCGGTTGGGTTTGGCTCCCAAGAAAGACCCAGCCTTAGGCTCATGTGTGGAAGCTCCCAGGTCCTGGGTAGGCTCTGCCTCAGCCCAGTTCTTCCAGAAGGGCCAGGGCTGTTGGGGTGCATCTCACACCAGGATGTGCAGCTTATGCTGCTCCCTAATGTTTCCCTTCCTCCAACCCTTCCTCATGGCACAATGTGACCCCAGCCCCGACCCCTACCCTCACCCTCTGCAGTGTTTCTGGGAGATCAGTCCATGGTAGCGCTGCTGCCCAGGCCAGGGTGTCTTGGAGGGTGAAGGAGAATCCAGATGCCATTTTGGGCTGGTCCCGTGGGGCTCTGCTGGTTCTGACAGGGAGGTGGGGGACAGACAGAGGTGCAGGGTCCTGGGAAGCCTCCATAATGGGAGGACTGGGCACAGGGCACTGTGGGCAGAGCATGCAGCTCTTACCCCACGGGAACCCAGGAGGTGCTCATCCAGGCCAGGCCCTTCTTGGATGTTGGGTGTGATGGTCTGCAGGGTTTAATCTCCCCTTGAATTACTGGGGACCTTCACATCAAGAGCCTGCCTGACCACAGCACCCCTGGCTCTTTCCTCTGAGCAGGGAGGAAGGGGGAAGGAAATTACCTGGGGACACGATCACCTCCACAGCGTGCCTAGGACCACTCCATAAAGTAATCACCACTCCGCAGTGGTAGGTGCCAGCATCCGTCTCAGTCAGGTTCTCCATGGTAACTGTGAACACACGCAGGCTGTGGTTGTCCTGGATGGAGAAGCGGCCCTTTTGCACTTTGGCCTCTGGCCCACTGGTCCGTATGATGAACCCATCAGAACAGTGGACAGAAGATCTTTTTCTACACCAGAACTTCCCATTCATCTCATAGCCCCAGTTGTACCAGCATGTCACGGACACCGAGCCACCTTCAGGGCCTGTCACCGTCTGGGGGCCTGTCACTGCCACACAGCCTGCAGGAAACACCGACACAGAGAGACCCTGAGCCCTTTGCCCTGCAATAATGCTCCCAGGGAAGACGGGGGATGCCGTAGCCCGTGCCTGGCGGGGAGGAGGAGGAGAAGGGGCAACACAGGGCATCACATTTTCTGAATCAGAGAACTTTCCCTGAGATAAATGTTCCTGCAGAAAAACTCTGATGTGATCCTAATAGTTTGACGTTCTGATTGGGAACACTGGAACTGAACCCGTCAAGGCAGTGTCTGGATCTGACACCTCAAAACAAGCCAGTACTTGTTACTGTAAGAGGGAGCCCTAGTCCTGTTACTGCAAAGCGGGGTGTCTCCTTTACCCCCAGAGTGTTCAGGGCATGGCTAGCTGGCAGAGCTGGGGTTCAAGGCAGCCCTGCAGGCCAGTCACCCAACTGGGCTTGTCACGTAACCAGGAGAGAGCTCAGGCCAGAGTTATATAAGCCCTGGGTTGAGCTGGAGGGAGCAGCAAGCCCAGGCAGAGGCAGAATGTGGGTTCCTGATTGCCCAGGAGACCAAATGACAACAGCTCTGTAGGCTGGGGCACAGGACAGCATGACCCAGAGAGAAAGAGTCATGGGGAAGCAGGCACGCTTCCTCCATTATTTGTTCTTTGTTATAGCCCATGGCTTAGTGTTTAAGTTGTAGTTTAAATTGGAGGTTTGGAGGCCTCATTAGTGCCCAGAGGCACATAACCACCTTGAGCCCTGCCGGGGCAGGCTCAAGGCTCCAGCCAGTATTGAGCTGTAGTGGAGCCTGGCAAGGAGTGCAAAGCGCAGAGAGAAAAGGACCAGAGAGCCTGGCACCAGAGGGGTGCAGCAGACAGGAAAGGAGGGAGCAGAGCTAGCGCCTAAAGCCAGGTCCAACACAGTGGGCCGAGGCTAGATGGCTTAGCCACACTAAAGGGGCAGTGGCTAAATAGGCCGAGGCCCCAGCAGGGGTGACAACAGTTATATAACACTGGAAAGGCATGGAGCACGCTGTAGGGGTGGTACGGAGCCCTGCAATTAGCTCTTAAGGCAGGAGTTCCTTGTGACAGGGGAACGTCATGAGACCGGTCAACATTGATCTGCCCACCTGTCTAGGGCAGTCTGTCCTGTCTCGTCTGCCATGTCTTGATGTATAAAAACTGATGTAATATACTGGAGGCTGTCCATTAAGTGCCTCAATGCCTAGGTTGTTATACACATCTCCTATCTTCCCTATTCCGTGTCCTCTACCTCACAGATGGCATCTAAAGTATACACTCTGCCTCAGGCTTGCTCTGTGCCTTGGCCTCCTGCCCTCTCACTAGGGCCTCCAACTCATGCCCTCTCACTGGGGCCTCCAACTTCGGCTACTCCGGTCAGCCCATGTGCATTCCTTCAGGCCCCATAAGGCCCTACTCTACATGACCACCGGATCCTGCCCTGCCCCCTAACTAGGACTATGGAGCCTTGCAGCCCTTAGATCTCATGCGTCCACAGACATGCCTGGACTCCACTCATAGTATAATGGCCTACTCAGGTCACAGGTGTCTGCTGACCACCTTGACCCTTCTCCAGGCCCCACACTATGAGCCTGGGTTCTGCCTTAGACCCCACTCAGTGGGCCTGGGTCCCTGTGCTTTTCTCTCAGGCTGTGATCCCCCTATCCTGTCCCCTCCATGGGCTAACCCACAAGGCAGCGGGGGCTGATGCTTTCTGGCGAACCCCATACTCACCCTTCACTGGGAAGGCACTGGTGTGGCATTTCCTGGAAGCTGACCTGCCAGAAGCAGCCCCACCACACCATCCAACCCCAGCAGAGGGTAGTTCTAGGTCATGCCCCAGGACCAGGAACCTCCTGCCATCCCCACCGTTCCTGCCCTGTACCTCCAAGATGTTATGTGAGAAGCAGCTCCAGGCAGGTGATGTTCCCCCTCCAGCTGCTTGCAGCAAACTGCTGGCCCTACTACTCAGGGTCTGTTCTTATCTCAGGCAGCTGGTCCCACTTCCCAATCAGGCAGCCTCCTGCTGGCCATGTGACTCCTGATTGGGAGTGCAGCCACCTGCAGGCTGCTCTGCTGCCTGTTCTGGCCTTTAAAGTGGTAGGCACCAAAGGTGTTCTGCCACATTCCTCACTTCTGGGTGTTCTGTGGAGCGAAAACCCAATCTGGCAAGCCCTGGGGCAGGCCCCTCTCTGAAAACCAAAACAAACATAAAGATGAGGCAGGAAAATAAAAGGGAGACTGTTCCCAGAAGTGGATTGAAATAAAGGGGACTATGGGGCAGCTCCAGGGGTTCTTGACTGCCCAGAGGATGGAGCTTTGTTACACTTACCTTTTAAAATGAACTCTCATTTGCATTTCCATTTCATCTTGCTCATTTCTGGGCTCTTCTGCAAAAATATCTTCCTGTCCTTTTTCCTGCCCTCAGCTTCCCTTCTCAAGCTTTTCTCTGCAACCATGAAGGCTAATGAGCCTTTGTCTTTCTTTCTAAGACAGCTGAGAGTCCAACATAGTCACATGACTCCAGGAGTTGCGTCTTTAAGAAAACCAGCAAATATTCTGAGGCTCAGGATAAAATCCTGAGCTGACAACACTGGATCTTGTCCTCAGCACATATGTCACTGTAGATACAGCCTCAGCACTGAGATCCTTATTTGCACATGCATTTGGAGGCTCCAATTACTGCAGGAGTTGTACTCACTGCTGGGGTCTAGTTGGAGCTTTTTAGCTGCAATGAGGAAGCCAGCAAAGCCTCCAGCCTGTCTCAGTGTATTCCCAGTGATCCCCAAACCTCCTGTCATCAATGTTCCCTCTAAGGTGTAGCGATCCATGAGTGCACCGTTTCGATCTGTGAGCGTGCCACTTCGGTCCCACCTCCTCATTTCACTAAGCCTAGATCCAGACTACTCTAAGCCTAATAGACTAGACTCCACATGGAATGGATCCTCGTGCAGTAGATTTTGCAATAATCCTCCAAGCACAAGACTGGGGGCTGGGGAGCGGAGCAGTTCCCCAGGGCCGGTAATGGGGACTTCCCATTCATGATGCAGAAATCTTATGTCATGGTTAGACAAAGTGCTTCGGGTAAATGTGATATAATTTACCCAAAGCACCTTGTCTCCCTATGTCCTTAGACCAGCACAGCCGTAACCAGCACCCCCAAACTACATCATGGTTAGGAATTATTCCTTGCTCCTGCTCCTTTTCCTCTGATGCAGACCCAAGTTCTGCACCATCCTGCTCTGCCCCATGCACCTTTCCCTGCTGCAGGTAACCAAAGTAAATCCGACCATGGTGCATCGGGCTATGTAAACATTGTTGCTGGGAGAGCAACATGTTGTCTGAAGAGGAGTGAAATGTCAGGGTGCGCTCTTGGCTCCCTCGAGCCGCTGCTGCCTGCAGCATTTAATCTGAGATCTGGGGAAGCCATGCTCTGCATGTGTCCCTGCTCCAGGAACGAGGAGGCACATGGACTCGGGGCAGAGGAGTGGAGCAGTTTCCTGGCAGCAGCCCCCAGCCTCAGCCCCAGCCCCTGCCCCTGCCCCTGCCCCTGCCTCCGCCTCACTTCCAGGACTGAGGAGGCACATGGCCTTGGGGCTGGGGAGCAGACCAGTTCCCTGGCACTGGCAGAGCCCACACCAGCCTCTAGCCCCAGCCCGCATCACCTTGCCTGCCACAACCCAGCTCCTCTCCAGGTGGGTGCACGGTGTTAATAAGTTAGTGCATGGCCTGGTATTAAATTGTGCATGGCCATGCATGCACGCAGCCTGGAGGGAACCTTGCCTGTTGTACTCACCTGGGAAGAGAATCCAGAGCCAAAGAGGGAGCATCCACATTTTCCTGGTCCTTCTGCACCTGAGTCTGGTCTCTCTGTAGCAGCTCTGGGACTTGCTGCCTTTCAGGATAGCTGAAAATGAGCCTGAGACGCTGCTTCTCTAATTTGCAGTTGCCACCCATGTCAGCTACTTTCCTTCCCTGTGAAAATGCCTCTGAGCAATTCCACAGGAAGTGGCGAAACATCTACTGTTATGGCCCATGTCCCTTATGATTCTGTCTTAAAAAAAAATAATAGCAGGTCAGTGCCCAGCTAGAAGGGTTATTGGGTTGGTTTTTTTTCAGACAGGCCAGTAGAGCATCAGATAGGTGCATACTCTACATTGATGATCCCCAATGATCAACACTCACCCCCCAGACAGGCCCTCTATAGCATGTGCTTAGCTTAAAGATCATCTGAGACCCAGGTTCTAGTCCTTTTGTGATATGATTCACAACAAGGACTTGAATCTCAGCATCCCACAACCCCAAAAGTGCCCTGGCCACCTAGTCACTGGGTAAGCCTTGGGTGGGAGGGAAGGGTTCTTCACTGTCCATTCTATGTGCAGTAGACCGGAATCCGAAGTAAATACTAGCCGATACACACAGGCCTACTAGCAGGGCAGGAGGGAGAAGGGAGGGGGATGTCCCCAGTGCTGTACTGCTCTTTCAGCTCTTCACCCAGTAACAGATTCCTGCCAGGATGGCCACGTATGTGCAGGTACCAACATCAAGTGTTTGACAGTCACTATGTTCTATTACAGCTCCCGGCCTGCCTTGTTTCTAGATACGGCTGTATCAGCAGAAGGAGGATGTCCTCCATCAGGTCCCTGCATCTTTGTGCTCAGCTCCTATAGCTGTCTACTAGGCTCGATTCTCCTCTCACTTATGCTAATGTAAAACTGGAGTGAAATCACTGGAGTCTGCCCTCTCAGGCTGGGGCAATCCAGTGTCTGTGAGATCAGGACAAGGCCCAGAGTCTGTCTGTTTTTCCTGGGGGAAAAAATCACAGGACACTGAAGACTAGTCAAGAGCTTCAGAAGCTTAAGAAACTTCTGGACATCTATCTTGCTGGGATCCTTTGACCTTGCTGTCTTCCTGCCCCTGGGGCAGGGGGCTGGACTCGATGATCCTCCGAGGTCCCTTCCAGCCCCAATGTCTATGAATCCATGAAGCCCTGGAGCTGAAGGGGAGGGGTTTATTTTAGGGCTGTGCGAAGCTTCGGGTGCTGATTTGATGGTCCTGAGAGGGACATGGTCCTGGTCCCTCTGCAGGGGAATCTAGTCTCTCTGACAGCCTCTGGGCTGACCTTCAGAAACTGAGCCCTAACACTCAGAGACCAGTTCCTTGGTTTGTGGTTCCCACTTCTCTCACACGGTGCCTGTCCTCTGTATGAGAAGGTCGATCTCATGAGGTTCCTTCCAGCCCTAAACTCCTGTGGATCTGTGGTGGTCACCTGGAGAAGGATGTGGTTCTGTGTCCATTCCTGTGGATATCCAGGGGCCTAAAAATACTGCTCCGCAGAAGACTGGAGCAAGGTATGGTCCCAGACTGTGCCACGGAGTCAGTCCTCCAAAAGACACGCTTTGGTGTTGGTCAGAGTGTCTCTTTGGTTCTCCTGCTGCCTCCAGTCCCCTGGTACTGTCCAAAGTAAGTGGCAGGGGGGTGGCAGTGGGACGTGGTGGGGGGTTGGGGAGTGGCGGGGGGATGTCCCCAGGACTGCGGGAGGTGAGGACCCAGCTCAGATTGGTGCAGCTTGCTAGTCCGGCTTTGCACCAGAGCAGGTCGCAGGGCTCCAAGAGGCATGCACAGGACCTGTGCCTTTTGGAGCTATGTGACCCACTCTGGCGCAAAGCTGGATTAGCGAGCCACATGGGGCTGGCCCGAGTCCCACTACGCGTCATCCCCCTTCCCCCCCACCGTAGGCACAGTGGAGCAGAGGTGGAACCCAGCGCAGCTTGTGGGGACTGTGCTCCATGCCCAGCTGGGTCCTGCTGGCCCTGGGGCCCCACTGCCACATGGCTAGGCCGAGCCCTTGGTGGCAAGACCTAGCACAGCACGTGGGGACAATGTGCTGGGCCCAGCTGGGTCCTGGAGCCCCTCTGCCACCTGGCTGGGCCATTCCAATGGCAGTGCACAGGGACCATGCGCCATGCCCACCAGGTCCTTCCAGCCCTGGGGCCACTCCTGCCACCCAGCCAGGCTGGCTAGGTGGCAGGAGCAGCCCCAAGGCTGGCAGGAATCGGCTGGTCCCCATGTACTGCGCCGGATCCTGCCACCATGGCTCAAAGCCCCCCACTCCCGCTGCTGCTGCTAAAGGTAAGTTATGGGCCCTGGGCAGGCGGGCTGGGACCCTGGGTGGGTGGCCTGTGGCCTTCCAGGCGGAGCTGGGACCCTAGGCAGGGGGGCTGGGGCCCTGTGGAGGATAGGGGCTGTGGCCCTTCAGGAGGGAGCTGGGGCCCTGTGGTGGGGGGGCATTCCATGTGCTGTGTGGGGGGGGCTGCACCCTGTGGGGGTCAGGAGACCCCCCCCTCCTGAGCAGCCCCCCCCACAAGGTCCCCACACCCACAATCCCCCTAGCAATCGCCCTACATCTACCCACACACCAGTCCACATCCCTCCACACACACCCACACACCCGCCTTCCCCCACACCCCTTCCAACTCCCTTCCTGCAAACACCACATCCCCATCACACCCATGTGCGAAAAAAACCAAAGTACACATCAACATATATAGGTATTTAGAATGTATTTTATAATGATGATAGAGACACTGGTAGGCCTCCACATTGCTTTAAGATTGTGAATATACCAATAAAGCATTGCCCAACTGATCGCACTCACTCTCTCTCTCTCGCTCTCTCTCTAGATATATATGTGTGTGTGTATTGAGTGGTCTTTTGTTTGAATTGTGGAAAAACATGAATTTTGGGGTATTTTTAAAAATGGATTTGGGATGCTGCTGCAACAGTCCAGCTGGCACAAGGGGTAGTGTCCCCAGGTACCAAGTGGCCAGGCCCCAGAAGCTCCTGAGAGCAAGTAGCCCTGAGCTTCTTGCCAGGACAGTTTTTTGTATGGATGGGGCAAGGACAGGGCAGCTTTTAACACTGCTGGGGACAGCACAGGTGCTGGCCCTGGACTCTAGCTTCCTCAGGCTGCAAATCCCTGAGGAGCCAGGCAGGGTTATTTTGCCCCAAGTGACACAATTTGGTCCACAACAAAGTGCATGTCCAAGCACGTGCACCGAGGCAAAAAGCCCTGGCTCAAATTTGCACCATTTCTATTTGAGCTGCTCCAACTGCACATGCTTGCATGTGTAGATGTGCCCATAGGGATGAACCATTTCATTGCCCTGATTCTCATGCAAGACATTTTCTGCAGGACACTTGCTGTCCATAACAATCCTTATTCTGATCACCACTAGGAGCAGACACGTGCCTGTTGCCTCCCTCACATTCTGGCTCAAGTCCAATGGTTGTAGTGAGAGATTTGTCTTTCAGCTGTTTCACTTCCTTCTCGGTGGCTGGTTCAGTGCAGAGAGCATGAAGCAGCTACTATTTTATTCTTTATAGGTTTGGCTGTTTGCTAGTTTCGATTCACTGAAATGGGTGGGTTTTTTCCTTAGTAAGAACTAAATATACTGCCTGTGATGTGAAGGCACCAGAGGCATGGTAAATCATGAGACTAGTGAAAAAGGAGATGCTTAGTTTGGGGGGTTATTTTTGCTTGCTCTTAGGCAGAGAAGTGTTGCTGATAGGTTAAAAAAGGGCTTTCTCTCAAATTTCTTCCTTAACATGAGATAAACCCAGTGTTCTTTTGCTATGAAGTGTGAACTATACAAAGTGTGGCTTCACTATATACAGGGTAGAAAAGCCACCAATGTGTCTTACTGATTAAAAAGAAACATCCCTGTTTTGTGATGGCCATAAATTAATCATGACCAAGGAGGAAGTTGGCAGAAATTCTAGCCTTCTAGTCAGTAATATTTACACTTCATTCTCGTGATACATACTGAGCATGCTGACAAACCTGACAAAGACCTTATCTGACGTTTCCATCCCAAGGTTATGTAGAGAGAGACACACTCAGGCCCTTCTCTGCCACTCCATCCTTTAGGAGCCACAAGCACTAGGGCTGTGCAAAACGGCACCGTTCCCTTTCACCTTGAGTTTCGACGTTTCAACGAACAGCGTTTCGTTTTCAATTTCATTTCGATTTGAAATGGCTGTTCTGTTTTGCTTTGTCGAAACAGTGAGGTTGTTTCAATGCTGTTTCAACCTTTCGCTAGACAGGGCTGGGGGCGGGGAGTCAACTGGTCCCCAGCTTGATCTAGCACTGGAGATGGGAGGGCTGACCCCCCATCCCCGGCTGGATCTTGTGCCAGGGATGGGAAGTCACCCCAGCTGGACTGACTTCCCATCCCCAGCGCTATGGTCGAAACGTTTCAACGTTTGAAATGTTTCGAATAGCCTCATTTTGTTTCAAGGCTGTTTTGAAGCCCTTGTTTTGTTTCATTTCAATTTTGGTTTTTTGCCCGTGAAGTGAGTTGAAACAGTGTCAAAATGAAACAGCTGGCCGGTGAAATTTTGCACAGCCCTTCACACCCTGCAAGTAGCTGGGGAGAAGTCTCTCAGCATAGCTACTGTACTGGGCTAGCCCCATACTATCTTCCTTATAAGCTGTATTATAGGGTTATGTTTCCTCAGTGCTCTAAATTGAAAGTTTTCTCCATCATGGTAACCATATTAACTCCTTTTATATCACTGATATAGGGTTAGTTCCTCCTGTCCGTATATATAGACAAGGGAAGGAGGTTTGAACAAGGAAGGTCTTCTACATGGCTAAGTACAGACAGTTAAAAAGCCCGAGGCTGAATCAATCTTTAAAATTTAATCTTTGCAGGTTAGTCTAAGCTGCATAGATTGAACCAATAAGCAACTGAACAGACATTCACTTTTGATTGAAATGCAGCCACATGCTTGCAGTAGCCCAGGCCAGAAGCCAGGGGATGCTAGAGCATGTCTCCCTGCTAGGCTGGAGCAGACAGCTTGGGCCAAGGCTAGGGTGGCCATCATAGAGGACATTCCGGTTTTCTGCTACTCTGTC